TAGATTAATTTGATACTTTGTATCGTGGAGGATATTAATGATTTATAAAAAAGATATTATAGAACGATGTTCTATCGTTTCGTGACACGCAATCTTTCGACTGTAATCGGTGTAAAAAATCTACGCGAACTATTTTCTGCAAAAAAGCCATTAACTTTAATATAGGCCGATGGCAAGTGATTTTACTTTATATCCCGTGTCTTCCTGAGGATTAAGAGACAAGTGTCCGTTTTGTAACGGAAATCGATAACTAACCGATGTCTTAATTATTCTCCTAGCTTGACAAGACCTGGAAGTTGCATCTGCTGACTCACGAGCTGTCGATCACAAGTTTTCTAAATCGAACGCCCTTAAAAATTGTAAGTGCATAATCGTATCCGGACAGAAAGACTTTATCCGACAAGTTATCGATATCGAGTTTGTAAGGAACCGCTTGGGATAGTGACACCGCGAAATAATGAGCAAATGAAGCCGTGTATAGAAACATAAGAGGTCGACGAGTATGCCGCGTTTTTAACATAATGGGAAACATATTGACCGACACGTCCGATCGAATTCGAGATTTATTTTTCAACAAAACATATTTTACTTCAGTTTTTGTCCAAATTTATTGAAAAGCATCCGTCCTACTGCGCTGGAATGGGGTAAAATAAATTGAAATGAACACAGAATAACATCGCGACGTTGTCAAAACGGGCTCTATCGAACACCGTTATCGGTTTTCTCCCTGACATATCTCTAAAAAGGCTTTTCATCCCTATACAAGACCCGAGCTTGGAACATAATACCAGAATATAATTTGTCAATATTTGCAAATATAAATCGATCTTATAAGGGAACAAATAAGTTGTAAACCTGTAACGACCAAAGATCCCGGATTAAGGGGGAACGGGAAATCTAGATCATGCAGCGATCCACAAAACACCCCACAAGACTCTCGTTTGTCTTGTTTAATATCATCCAGTGTATAGTTAGAGTCTAAGGCGGTAAACAGCAAACTTACTGGCTTTTTAAAGCTTGCATTTCAGTCCACATGAGAATACAAAACACTGCTAAAAGTGGGAAATGGTATGGAATCACGCATATCGTTTTAAGCCAAGACAATTGCAGGCATTTGTGATCCACACACAAAACAAACAAATTGGTAAACCGTCCTGACCTCTCATAGCAGAGTCAGTTTGTGGTTTTTTTTTTCTTTCGGTACTCGATAATTTCTAAAGCTTTTAAAAAATAATTCAGATAGCGTGTTTTCAAATTTGCACTTATATTTTGTAAAGGAACCAATCCTGTCCCAGCTTGCTTGTTTTTTTGTTGTTGTTTTTTTTTAGGCCAGAACATGTAGACTGATAAAAGTACTGTTAACTAGAGCACAAAAACAATCGAAGGTAATGCACCCATTTTGGTTAATCCCTAATTAATTTCTAATAATCTTGAAATGATAGTTGGCATTCTGGCCTGGAAGCCAATGAACTTTGGATCTGTGTAAAGGAAGAGAGAAATCATGGCAACTAAATTATACATGGAGCCGGATGTCAATCACAGTTTACTGTCTTAAGTCTCCAATAGACCGAGACTCCGTGACACAGCACAACGTAATGAACACGGATTATCTCAGGGTCCTTTGTTTTAATATTAATTATCTTCAGATTTATTGAATTGGAAACAAAATAATATTGACTTCAATATATAAAGCACTATTCAACTATTTGATTTGTTGGTATTGTATTGTGGGTATATATAGCCTTCTGTTTGCTCGCAGTCGAAAGGGGGTAAATTTTACGACATTCTTGCATGGTCCCACTTATGACACTCTTGGAGGACAGAACTTAAATAAATTATGCACTTATCAATATGTTCATCACAGATTCAAACAGTTTGAGCAAATCCTCTATCTGACTTTGTGAATAGGAAAGGTTTTCTGCGAGGCAGATCATCTGATAGTTAGCACTGAAAATGAAATTGTATACCTCATAACTGTCGATGTCTGTTTGCTTAATGCTAAAGATCTATACACAGAATTAACACTTAACAGTCGGTAATGCTTCATTCAAAAGTGTCACGTAATTCTACCAGTCTTAAACATCTCAGAAAAAACCTTTACATGCATATTGCGTGATTTAAAATCTTCTTTAACATGTGTGGATTCTTGACTTGTGTCATCCATTGTCTCGAGAAAGCATTATAAACGAGAAAGAGAGGAGAAACTTAAACATCTGGTCCGTTTTCGTGGCGTGATTGCTGTGTCAATATGTCTGTTAGTGGCATCCTCAATCATGTGTCGGTCCCATCAACTGTCTCTCTCGCAGTATTGGCATGATCTACATTTACATAAACAATCATTAACATAGTCAGTAGCTAGCATCTGTCCCGTTCATAAATTACAAAGCTTGTTACTGGGCTGTGTTTATGCTACTGGCAGCTATTGTCGAGCTTTACAATACAGAAAGTCATGTCTGGCAATAAATGGATGTTTCAATTTCTCTCTTTGAGTGTATGTCTATGTGTGAGGGTGGGTGAGGGAAGGTGTGTGAAATAAAAGTATTGTGAGAAGCAGGGATTCAGGGAAAATATATGTATCGTCACTGGACCAAGAGAGTATTTGCGTGACCCAGGATAGTTTTTCAGTCAATCTGCCGTGAATGCTTGTCTAAAGTTTAAAATAGGGCTAAATAAATATACTGGCGGGTTCGGTATCCCAGATCGTCATGCGACAGTACCTTCTATTGTAATAAACAAACCCCTCAGCTGAAACATGAAGAATGTCGTCAGAGATTATAAATTATTTTCTTTATCTAAAAATTCTAACATTTCATATTTCTCGGGCTTTAAAATGCACTGAAACTTGAACTGGGGTTAGGAATGTCTTTTTAACGTGATTATTAGAGTCCACAGACGAAACCGAGAGCCCAGGCCACAATGCATCGCGAAAGAAACCCTAAAAAATATTGACGACCTGACAAGAAAATATCTCCCGAAGAAACACCTTACTGCCCACAAACCTGACGGCGGAATGGGGTAAAAAAAAATTTCGAAGTTAAAAACAAAACTAAACGTCAGAGGCAATCTTGGTGATTATTTTCAGATGCAGAAGGAGCGAGTTTTTTATATTTGCCGTACAAGCTTTTCTAGTCAGACTGGGGCCTGCTCGGTTATGGGAGAACTCACGAGCACCATAGGTCACGACCCGGAGATACCAAAAAACTCGGCTACTTTTAACACGTGTACCGCATCCTAGTAGGCGAAATAACGCAGAACAGTGCACCAACTGCTAAGTAACGCTGATATTTCCAGCTATTTTTGTAAATTCAAATTTTTTCAGTTCCTGTATATTTTTTTTTTACGATTCTTGTGTACGCAACTTTTTATTTCTATTTCCCGTTTAACCAAGTTCTTTTTCCGTTGTGGCAATAAATTTTGCTTTGCGCCGTATGTGCCATGTAAAACAGCCAGGCGTTATCAAGTAGAATTATCGCATGTTATGTTTCAAAATATCCCTCCCTCTGTCACGCTGTATAATAAAGCAAACATGTGCGTACAAAACTTATCCCGGCTACTCACTCGGCAACTGAATACCCCAATCTTCCGAAATCTTGCCCATAAAATGGTAACTGTATCCGCGAAGGTTTAAGAAACGTAATCTGTTATAGCCAAATTTTTCTCCCATATAGCACAATAAAAATTTACACATTAAATTCAATATCCCGAGAGAAAGAATGAATTATGACTAACAAAAGCCCGATTCTTAAGTACAACATTGAGTCAGACATTGACTGGGACAATTACATCTAATTTCACATTGTCGCTGAACGAGCAAAAACACGGAGGTAAAATGTTCTTCCACAATACAGACGAAGCTGGAACTCCAAAAACTGGAGACTTTTACATAACAAGATAAAAAACATCACTAAGCATATGGTGAAATTGTTTCCAACCAAAGAATGGAAAAGGGTCCTTATGTTAAGATATCAAGACAAATATACAATGATTATGATACTCAAATAAGAATGGCCAAAGTACGCCAAGATGACCACGTAGTAATGATTTGGAAATATAGGTTTACTCTAGTGCTGACTAAATGTTCACAATAAAACATAAAAGTTTTATGAGGTAAAAGTTATAAAGTTACAATCAAAACGCCAAGCCTACAGAGGAATTAGGTTTCCAGAACAATGAAAGTCTTGTTAAAATTAATGAATTAAGGTAGGATATTTTTTGGTGTTGTAGTTCTTTAGAGATGTGTTGTGCGGCCGAGCGGAACGGTACAAGAACCGCAGCTCGTAAGTCATGCCAGAATCCTGCGAATGACACGGACAGGCATGTTTCATATTTTAATGAGTTTTAATGTACAGCAATATGTAAATTGTCTACTCTCTGCAAATTGTCTAACTATCTAGCAGTGGGGAAAATTTGACCATTTAACTGCACTCGAAGCACTGTGCTGGTAAATTTACAACAGGCTTTAAATAATTATTTATGGCACTTAAAATATAAATAAAATATTTGCCTGTCAGTGGAAACGTCCCCATATAAACTGACAGTTTTACAATGTGGGAAAGCAGAGACTTAAATATTTGGTTTGCTAATCTCATTGGTTAAAGTCGATGTTTATGTTAAAAACTTTGCGTTGTTTTCTGTAACCCTTACAACAAAATTCCTTCAAAATGTACCTCCAGTTGATAAAAGCCTGCAAATCGATGGTGTGTCGTTATTAAACTATGTTTACGCTATCAAAATAAAGCACAGGCCTTCCATGAATGAAAAGTAACAAAAATATTTCTTTTTAAAATTATTGGTAATTTATCATGATTCATAAATAACAAGTGATATAAAGTGAAAAGTATGCTTTTTAAAACATGAAAAAGAAAACAATACTGTCGTCTGCTGTTCAACAATAGCTTACTCGTGAATTTCCTCTTAAAATACCATGCACTCTTAAAAGTTACTCCACTGCTGTTTAAAAAAAGCACATATTTATATATAGACAGGTTTCCGTGACTAGGTTTCGCCAAGTGATTTTTTTTGTGAAGTATGTGAGTACAATCCAGTCCTTCCACCCGCCGCGAGGTGGCGTGGCGAAAGCAGCCAAAAACCGGCGTGCAACAGTGCTGGTTGATTAGGGCGCTACTGCAGAAAGGTTTTTTGTTCGGTGTATTATTTTGTTCCAGAATTGAAAAGGATGGCTTGTTCTCCTGCTTAATGTATCTTCATTGAGACACGTGTCAGAAAAGGAAGATGGAGAGGCAGCAACGTGAATTGATTTTGAGAAACAGTTAAAAAAAAACCAAGCCATTTGTTATGCGTCGCTGCATGATCTCGGTATAGCTTAGGAGAATCGGTACACATGCACACAATAAAATTTCAGAATCACTTGAAAACATTTTAGCAGTCATGTTATATTTCTCTCCAAGTTTTGCATGGATTTATAAAAAAAAGACATCTATAGCGAATTGAAACGAACACAGACCCAATGGGTTTCTTCACATCATATTAACATGCAGCATAGAACTATACAAGAGGAAATATTCTCGTTTTGTTTCAATAGTTTCGATTTCACTTTCAAAACAAACACATTCATTAAGCCACATTTTCACAAGCACTTTTGAGTATTTCTTCTCACTGCATTTTCTCCGTGTTTTCACGCAAACGAAAATAATAATCCATAATGAAAAAACAATAATACCCAGCCGTGAAGTAATGATGGATAACACATGAAACTAGACAACGATTTGGCCGTCCGTTTTTGTCCGCTTTGGTTTGGATTTCTCATTCCTGACCACCCTATTAACGTGTTTGACTGGCACAGGGTGATATTGGTGGGTTGGAACGGCGTACTCGATTGTCTTTCGCACTTCGCGTTGGTCCTTTTGGAAAGTTAATTTGACTGCGAAATTTCTCCAGGAATTGATAGTCTTGGACGACCAAATCCACATCCCACTAGTGATGCCAACCACCAGAGTCATAAAAATCTTTAACATGAAGATTTCCATCTTTGGTTCACTAGAAATAGAGTTTTTAAGGTACCATGAGTCTCTGCTCGCAAACTCATACAATAAGCACGCTATGACTATCGCGGCGGGGATGGTATAAAGAAGACTGAAGACTCCAATGCGGATCTTCAGGACTTCAATTTTAGCGGATTTCACTCCGTTGATACGGTCCTGGGACTGGACCCTTAATAAAGCTATAAATCCGGCGATTAAGAACGCCACTCCGACGACGAGGTAGACGAATGAAGGGGCCACAGAAAAGCCCAATAATGTCTGTGTGTTTTGGTTTCCAACATAACAAATCCCTGTCAGTTCGTCTGCGTCTACTTCCCTCATGACAAGAATTATAATTGTTTCTATGGCGGGCAAAGCCCAGGCCACTAAATGGAAGTAACTGCTATGGAGCTGAATTGCATCATGGCTCCATTTAAGTCCAGCAGATAGAAACCACGTAAGGGTCAAAATGACCCACCACAAAGCGGCTGCTGAGCCAAAATAGTAAAGTAAGAGAAAGACAATGGCACAATCCGTGTTTTCTAGACCCTCTTGGATCAGAATAAAGGACTTGCTGGCTGTGTCCCGATCACAGGCGATGGACTCCCTACCGGCGATCAGACGGACGATGTAAGCAATACTGTAGATATTGTAGCACATGGAAAGAAAAATGATGGGGCGCTCCGGGTATTTGAACCTCTGAGAGTCAATGACAAATGTAAGAATGGTGAACAACGTAGACACAAAACATAGTCCTGACCATATGGACATCCAAATGTCAGCAAAGTACTTATCCTCTGCTGAAAACGCCGCATTCTCGTTACACTTCAGCGCGCACCTGCCAGTTCGGTTGATGAAGGTGTACATCTTATGATACCTGAACTGGTCACATTCGCTCTTTTCTTTCGTGGGTGGTTTGAAGGTTGGTTTTCTTGGTGGCTCCTCAACTGCGCTCTCTCCAGGACCGTCCATGCACATGTGGTGCTGGTCATTTTTGGGTGGGAACTTAGAACAGTTGAGAGCCACTGGCCAAGGGAAACCAAACTCGTGAAGGACTGGCTGACAGCGCCTCTGTACACTCAAACACATTGGTCTACATGGTCCTATGGGGTCTATGACTTTCTCCGTACACATTGGTACATACACTGAACACAGGAAAAATTTCAGTTGCTGTGAACAACCATACTGAATGAGTGGTGTAAATGTTTGTAATTGTAACTCAGCGTCTTGTTGAAGATCGTGTCCGACCAGATTCGGCATACCCGTAACGTTATAACCCAGACCCTTACACATCTCAATGCGGATCGGGTCACATTTCCTGACAATTTCTGTTCCCTCACAATGTTTCAGAACGAACAGACATACCAACAGAGTCAACACTGGCTTTATGTCTTTGTATTCCATTGTAAAAAAATTCTTGTGTAGGTGAATAATTCCAAAAGTTAAGCTTTACAAGTCCATTAGCAGTCAAATTGGATTGTTAGTAAAAACAGCAATAAAATTTCTATAACGTTCATACACTCCCCTTCTCTGACACAGCGTACACATGGTTGTGTGTTTCTTTACTGATAACAATGCCACGGTTTTGGCAAAGATAAACAGCCAAGTTTAGAAGTCACGAAGTTCCATCTTAGTAACTGTCCTCGGAGGCAAATCTCACAAAATACAAGTCCATACTAAAGTTCCCCCCAAATAAATTATAACCCGAGATCGCGGTCTGTCGTTACTGAAAACACAACATTCTTGTGTGCAGACCCACTAAGTGCTCCCTTCCTAGGCAAGGTCCAATCAGCTGCTTTGTTTTGATTGTTCGCTCCTCCCCCGGATTAGTACGGTACCCGTACCGGCGATCAATCAGGGCGCGCTCGACTGCCAATCACAACCGATGTCCAGTACTCAATGGAAAATACGCTATGCAGCTTCACACACGGAAAGAAAATTATAGCATGGCACTATTTCCCTTTGCTCTGATAATGCCTTTTTCACTTGGGTTCTATTCACATCTGACGAGCCATTCAAAACTTTTGTTAAAGTGTCATATTACCCTTTTTAACACGAGGGAAATCATTCCTCTCCGTAATAAACTCTCGTCCAAAATAAAAACGCTACAGCGAATTAAAGTATTTTTCTTCGTGACAACATGATACAAAAATGCTAATTTATAAAATAAAAGGTAGTTAATGTCTCGCGCATAAACGCACGTGCTTGCCTACAAATGCCCCACTAATAAATGGTTATATTCAACATTGCGGAGAGGAGGTCGAAGTTGGGCGACTGTTCGCCCATAATTTATACCGCTCTAACTTAGCAGCTACACAACAATCAGTTTCTTATGACACTTGTGCAAAACTCCATATATCAAGTGCTTTAAAAAGTTTATGGAATGGCTCCAGTCTTTAAGCTACGCGCTCTGCGCCATTTTTTCTCCGCCTCTGTTGATTGCTGTAAAATTAACATCATTCCAAATTAGCTCCGAGTTTTCCCCTGGATGCGGTAGAGTGGTTATAGCAATTACAACATCAACATAGACCTCCCAGCGATTAATAAAACTACTACACATTTGACTTTCTATTTCAAATTATTTTTGTTAGACGACCCAAAATATAAAATATCAGAATAAAACTACGATCAGAGATCATTACATGGTCAATAAGTGAATCAAACAGCTGTCTCCGTTATACTGAAAGGCCCGCAAGGTAAAACCTAGAGATCGTCGAGATTTTCACTGACAATACGCGTCTGTTGCCTCCGATACTTGACAACGCTGCACAGTTGCGGACACCGGTGTCTTTAACGATCGGCGAATCAAGCACACCCAAGTTACCTCGCTTTGCACTGAATGCAAAAAATTTCTAAGTAAAGGTTTGTACAAAAGTTTTGTCCCTGATTTCTAAATGTTAAGGCAAAGAAAAATGTACAATTGTATTATTTATTTTTGTTATAAAACGTAACATGTTCTATGAAAAAAGTGCACAAAAACAGAAGGTAAAAACAGAAAAGTAACAAAGATATATAAAGTAATCGAAATCAAAACTGAGATGCACTAGAAACTCTAAATACTGTAAATCACTTTTTATTCTTCTAATTACGAAGACAAAATTTCTATAATAGAATTCCTTAAGATCATATAGTGCAATGACCACAATTCGTGAACATTTTGTCTCGCTAATAAAGAGTCAGTGACTATATGTTAAAATTAAGTGATCTACAGTAGTTATTTCTTCTGAAGACAATCTAAGAGCTGAGATCACAGATTTGTTAAACTTATATTTCAAAGAAAATGGGTAAAAATGTTTTAAAAGAACATTTCAAGAGATAATGTACATTAAATCTTCAGAAATACTATATATATTATCCAACAAACAATAAAAATAAATAATTTTCTTAAAAAAAAAAAATAATTAATAATTCCTTCATTGTAATGACACAACAGTTATGCACTTGTCTTAGTTTCTAAGCTCTTTTTCATGCATGGAGCCCAAATAAAACTCACATGCAATCAAAACCATTTAAAATAAAGACCATGATTTAAAAATTTATTTTAAAAAATGTTAATTATTACCTTGAAAATACCTTTCATCCCCTTCCCTAAATAGAAACACAAAATCAAAAGGTTTCATATAAAAACACAATTATCAGAATGGTAATTTTTTTAAAAAAATAATTTAAAATCAAACATGCTTACACTTAATCTGAGCTTCTAATCTGTGTTCTAACCTGAGTTATTTTTATGCTCAGACTCAACTTTTAAGGTCAATTTGCCTGCACAAGATAATTTTAAATCAAGTTGACTAAATTCTAAACAATTTTTCAGAATCCTTAAAATTCATTGTGTTTTTCATTAAAAAAAAGTCCTGATATGACACTAACATGAAAATAAATAGTAAGCAATAACAAATTTCTATCTAGGACAGATGCCAGAACATTCTCCATAAGAAAAACAAACATCTCTCTCTCTCTCTTTTCCTCTCCATCTCTCTCAAATTATGATCTAATGCAAATATGACATAAATGAACAACAAGCTCAGTTTTATCTATGATGAAAGGAAATGATGGCTTAGTAGTATGTGTACAAATATAAACTTATTTATACTTAAAACATAAATGCACTTTTAAAATACATGTATTTAATTGCACTTAAAAAGACTTGCTGTAAACAAGTTACCACGAATAAGCTAGGGTTACATTTTTTCCCCAAGAAAAGTTCAATCAAAACAGTTTACAAGATTTTAAAACTTAAAGGATTCTTCAAGTCCTAGGCCTTAACAAAATACTGTAAACATATATTTTTTTTGTCCATGGGGTCATATTTCCACAGAATTACAATTTCTGATCAATATAGCAAATAACATGGATTTCTTGGATTGCAATTGGATGCACATAAATGCACATTAAGTATGCTGGACAAATTTCCACATAAAATTTGAGACAGAACAATAAGCGTAAATTAATCCCATGAGGAAGATTGTACCTCTACAATGACAGGTTCTATGTAAACAATTAAAAAATATTTACCTATACTGTATACATGTATTTAAAAATTGAACTTTGACTATTTGATGAAATGCATAGATACTTTGGTTAAGCAAATAAGGGTTAACAGCATCATTGAAACAACATTGCAAGTGAATGAAAAAGGATACATGAAACAATTCGTCTAAAAGTGCCACCATATATCTTTGGCTACCACAGTAAGGACAGCTGGGACAGAAATTGTTAGTATGTATTGGGACTATATTTTTGCTCCATTACATGACTTGTGACTATATTCTTGCTGCATTACACGTCAGTGACTAGGCCATAGTGTATCCTTGACTTCCGCACTGAAGAGCTACCATCAAACGCTCCTTTAACTCAGATTTTGTTGAATATTCTGGTAGTTTCAGAAGGTTGATGCTTAAAAGTAGTATTTATAAAAATTACAATGTATTGTGAAAGAACAAATGTCATGCGTTAATTAAGTTTTTCAAGTCTGAAGAAACTTTAACTGCGTTTATATAAAAGGAAAAAAAATCTACCATCGCTTCTTGCTCAAACAGACCATAGAAAATAATACACTGTATCTATGTAATAAATTTTATATTGCCCCATCATCTTGAGCAACCTTAGTTTCAAAAAGGAACTTCTAAAATACTGTAGACATACTTTTTTCCACGGGGTCATAATTTCGCGAAATCTCAATTTCTGTTTATTCCACAGGTAGAAAACTACGCGGATTTACTAGACTGTCCCTATATACTTTGCATGTATTTTAAGTACACTTGGACATATTTCTGCGTAAAATTTGTGACCATGTACATAGTATAAATTAATACCTTGAGGGAAAAATTACTTCTACACTCTTTACTATCTTTACTTCAATTTTTCCATTAAGATGAGAATTTTTTTTATATTTTTGATTATAGTGACCTTTACCTTATCTAAATGACTTTAAATGGCCATCAAGTCATATTCAAAGGCAAAAAAAAATCTGTGTCAAAAACAAGCCAAAATATTTACATTCACTGTGTTTTTCTACTAAACCAACTGTGAAATTGATTTGAAAGTCATTTTTGTGTATACTCACACGTAGAAATATACACAGAAAAATGTGTGTTAACTTGACGTCACAATGAGGTGCAGCGACGTTGGTAAAATTGCAACGATATAGGACAGCGAGAAATTCAATTCTTGAGTATATTTTAGTTGCTTCCAAACATGTAAAATGTAAATATAAGGAATGTTTTTCAGTTTCATGTGAATTATTGGTGTGTGAATCACACAGACTTGCACGTAGGCATATTTTTCATGAAGTGCTAGTGTGCTCTATGAAATATACCTACGTGACAAGTCTGTGATTCACACACCAATAACTCACACAAAACTGAAAAACATTCCTTAAAACTTTTTAATCTCTATTGTGAGTGGAAGCATATTGTATGAATCACTTGAAACAGAAAGATTTTTGACCCTTTCTGATATTGTTTTAATAAAATTCTACTTTTCAAACCATTTGTATTGTATATAGTTTAAAGAATGTCATATTTTAAACAACTTTTTAAACCATTTATAAAACATTCTACAGTTATACTATACAGACAAGACCTAAGCTGTGGTTACCATGTACTGGCTGTGGGGAGAAGCTGGGGTTGGTAGGTGATGTGGCTGATGGTGAACTTTTGTGGTCCCCCTCCTCCACCCAGACGAGAAAATCCCCCAAAAGGAACACGGGAGCTGAAATAAACAACACACAATGAATAATTGCTTGTTCTCTTTTGTTTTAATAGTCTAATACATATATCATGGTATTGTAAATCACTTTTTCTTCGTGAGAACTGAGTAATTAAGCGAGACAATGTGCTCACAAAAATATAATCTTGCATATATAAGTATTTCTAAAGATTATTTTGAGCAGTAAGCACGATTCGTTAAAAATTTGTTTCGATGAAATAGAGTAAATTTCTTTCTCACAAAATTAAGGTGTTGAAAAAATTTTAATTATCTATAGTACTTGAAAATTTCTGACAATCAAAGCAGTTTGTAATCAACAAATACATAGGAAATACAATATACACTGTACAAGAATTAGGTTTTATCTTCTTACACATGACAAACATGTACTTACCTCCCTGTGGTAAACTGAAGCAGCAAAACTCGGTCCTGTTGTCCTAATTCTTCTACCACTTCCCAAAACCACTGTCAAAAGTTTAATAACAATCATTAATATTTATCATAACGTTTAAATAAAATCAAATCAATCAAATTAGTGGTACTGGCATATTCCATACAAAAATATATACCTCCTGAAGAATTAAAATTTCAAATTTCTTATGTGATTAAAATAATAAGGTTGTCTAAGAGAAATAAATTTCTGAATGCTTTTACACTTCAGCAAATGTCTGTGGACAAACCTGTATTTGAGGAGAGTTTTCATCGTATCCACTGTACTCTGTGTACTTTCTCCAGTCCTCCACACTGATCTCAGGTAATCCAGACAGTAGTAGTTCCTGTAGGAAATATAATGTTTATAGGCTGTTTTATCATGTACCATTTAACAGTATGACAGAACTTCAAAGATGTTCTCCTTAGGATTTAAATTTAACTTTATTACTCTTAGCTAGTGTACAATAAAGGTTTATATTTACAGTTTCATCATCTTTGATATTAATTAACTAAAATACCCCCCTTCCCCCCCCCCCCCAAATTTTCCCAAAACAAATTATTTTCATTTTTAAGTGTACTGCTTCATTAACAAAAGCATCATAAACACTGAGTTCAATACCAGTTCAAATTCATCAAACATCTGTACGAGAGCCTGGGGGACAAACTCATGGAATCCGGACAGGAAGCTATCAATCTGAGGCTGGATGGCCCGGGTCATCCGGAGCTCCGTCACCAGCTGGACGTATTCCTCCTGGAATTAAGATTTGTTATACAGTTATATATACTAAATCATTGGCTCTGAATGAAAGTGAAACTAAAAAATCTGCATAACATGCATTTCCTTCTATGGTTTGAAAAGAAGCTAATTCTGCAGAAATATGACTCTGTAGCTAGTAGTACTTTTACATATGTTTAATTGTATACTTCACTAGAGCAAAGCTCGTTGCAAAGCAACGAGAAGGTCTTCCTTCCTGTTTTGACTGGAAGTGACGTCAGCAAAAAGAAAGCAATGAGCTTAGTCGTCTCCAGTCACTTTATAATTTCAATTTTGCATCAAAACCTTAAATAATAAGCTATTTTTGGCTACTTCCGGTTTGACCGGAAGTGATGTCGATGGACAGAAAATTAAGTTTTGTGCTTCTTGTGATATATGTTACCCAAAAACTTGTCAAGAAGAGCAAAAATATGCATTTTCTGACTACTTCCGGTTTGACCGGAAGTGACGTCGCCGGACGCATTTTGACCACTTCATTAGATTAAGCTTGACATTTTGAACAACATTGCTTCTTGGGTGTATAACAAATTCTCAATACTTTTTGAGATATCTGGAAAAAACTTTTGGCCCCTCTAGATCCCTTAATTTAGGGGTCAGCCCTTTTTTCGAGATATCATTCAAAAGATCTTGTAATTCTGCACAAATTTTGTTCTATATGTTTTAACAAAATATTTTTAGTTTAGAAGATAAAAAGCAAAATATGTGTAAATTTTCGCTCTTTTAGGCGTTCTAATTTTTGACCCCTATATAGCACCATCTTGAATAGAGAAATCGAAAAACAAAAACCACTATGCACAACTTCAATCCTTCTATTATCTAAAATCAGTAGAATTTTTGCTCCAGCTTTAGCCGTCTCTGAGCCTTTGTCTGGAAATGAAAGCCTATAAATTTTCGTTTAAAGGGAAATAACTCAAAACCGGAAGTGACTTTTTGAAATTTTAGATAACATTCTGATAGAGTTTAGTAACGTCTATCAACTCTGAAAATTTGAGCAAAATCCATCAAGAAATGAGTGAAATATGAGGCCTCGAAGTTGGCGTCTAGGAAAAGGAAAAAAAAAAGAATAATAAGAACTAGATGAGATCTCGTTGTGAACAACGAGTGGGTCTTCCGTTCGATTCTTGATGAGATGAGATATGATTTTGATTGAGATATTTTTTACAATGATAATTTTCTTAAGAAAAACGATTGTGCTGCCGTGATGGTATTTTTTAAATATTGAACGTTAAACTGTCTTAAATTCAAATTCTGGACCCTCTTGGCCCTTTATGTAAGGGACCAGCCCCTTTTTTTTCTTCAAATCATCTGAAAGATCTTATGCTTTTTAAGACTTTTTGTTCAACAAGTGTTCAGAGATTCTTTTTCATTTTCGAGTTATTAGCAAAAGGAATATTTAGGGCCAACCCTTCAACTCCCTAATGGGGATGTTTAGCGAAAAATGAAAGGTTTCACATTGTTCAGAAAATGATTTTGAACATCTTTTGTTCAATATTACTTCTCAAAATATTTCTCACTTTCGAGATATGAAGTGTCAAAGATTTAGCATTCTGGCCCCTTTTGGCCCCTAATTATGTACCATACGACATAAAAACCATAATATATAGTTGTAAATGGTTGAGATAAACATCTTTGCTTCAGTAATGTATTACATAATATTAAGTGCTAAAGAGTTATCGATTGAAGACTTTTGGCCCCTATTGGCCCTAAATTTAACTGCCCAGCCCCTTTTTCTTGATTTCAAGTTGAAGCTTTTAGGATTTTGAACACTTTTTGTTCAACAACAATTCAGAGATTCTTTTTCGTTTTGAAGTTATTTGCAAAAGAAATATTTGAGGCCAACCCTTCAACTCCCTAATGGGGACTTTTAGCGAAAAATGAAAGGTTGCATATTGTTCAGAACATGATTTTGAACATCTTTTGTTCAATATTACTTGTCAAAACATTTCTCCCTTTCGAGATATAAAGCGTCAAAGATTGAGCATTCTGGCCCCTTTTGGCTCCTAATCATGTATTATACGACATTAAAATCATAATATACAGTGGTAGATTGTTAAAATATACATTTTTGCTTCAGTAATGTAAAACAAAATATTGACTGTTAAAGAGTTATCGAAAGAAGACTTTAAGCCCCTCTTGGCCCTTAATTTTACTGCCCAGCCCTTTTTTCTTGATTTCGACTTAAAGCTCTTAGGATTTTGAACACTTTTTGTTCAACAACTATTCAGAGATTCTTTTTCGTTTTCGAGTTATTCGCAAAAGAAATATTTAGGGGCCAACCTTTCAACTCCTTAATGGGGATGTTTAACAAAACATGAAAGGTTGCATAATGTTTAGAACATGATTTTAAACATCTGTTGTTCAATATTGCTTATCAAAATATTTCTCACTTACGAAATATAAAGCGTCAAAGATTTAGCATTCTGGCCCCTAGTGGCCCCTAATCATGTACCATACGACATAAAAATCATAATATATAGTTGTAGATGGCTGAGATCAACATATTTGCTTAAGTAATGTATTACAAAATATTAAAAGAGAAAAAGTTGTCGATTGAAGACTCTTGGCCCCTCTTGGCCACTAATTTGAGTGCCCAGCCCCTTTTTCTTGATTTCATCTTGAAGCATTTAGGATTTTGAACACTTTTTGTTCAACAACTATGCAGAGATTCTCTTTCGTTTTCGAGTTATTTGCAAAAGAAATATTTAGGGGCCAACCCTTCAACTCCTTAATGGGGACGTTTAGCGAAAAATGAAAGATTGCTCCTTAAAGGGGACGTTTAGCAAAAAATGAAAGGTTGAATACTGTTCAGAACATTATTTTGAACAACTTTTGTTCAATATTGCTTATCAAAATATTTCTCCCTTTCGAGATATAAAGCATTAAAGATTTAGCATTCTGGCCACTTGTGGCCCCTAATTTTGTACCATACGACATAAAAACCATAATATATAGTTGTAGATGGTTGAGATAAACATCTTTGCTTCATTAATGAATTACAAAATATTAACTGATAAAGAGTTATCGATTGAAGACTTTTGGCCCCTCTTGGCCCCTAATTTGAGTGCCCAGCCCCTTTTTCGGGATCTTAAGATTTTGAACATTTTGTGTTCAACAATTGTTCAGAAATTCTTTTTCGTTTTTGAGCTATTAGCAAAAGAAATATTTAGGGGCCAACCCTTCAACTCCTTAATGGGGACGTTTAGCAAAAAATGACAGGTTGAATACTGTTCAGAACATTGTTTTGAACAACTTTTGTTCAATATTGCTTATCAAAGTATTTCTCCCTTTCGAGATATAAAGCATCAAAGATTTTGCATTCTGGCCCCTTGTGGCCCCTAATTATGTATCATACGACATAAAAACCATAATATATAGTTGTAGGTGGTTGAGATAAACATCTTTGCTTCAGTAATGAATTACAAAATATTAACTGATAAAGAGTTATCGATTGAAGACTTTTGGCCCCTCTTGGCCCCTAATTTGAGTGCCCAGCCCCTTTTTCGGGATCTCATCTTAAAGATCTTAAGATTTTGAACATTTTTTGTTCAACAACTGTTCAGAAATTCTTTTACGTTTTTGAGCTATTAGCAAAAGAAATATTTAGGGGCCAACCCTTCAACTCCTTAATGGGGATGTTTAGCAAAAAATGACAGGTTGAATACTGTTCAGAACATTGTTTTGAACAACTTTTGTTCAATATTGCTCATCAAAATATTTCTCCCTTTCGAGATATAAAGCATCAAAGATTTTGCATTATGGCCCCTTGTGGCCCCTAATTATGTATCATACAACATGAATATCATAATATATAGTTGTAGATTGTTAAGTTTAACATTTTTGCTTCAGTAATGTTTAACAAAATATTGATTGTTAAAGAGTTATCGAAAAAAGACTTTTGGCCCCTTTTGATTCTTAATGTGATGAGTCAGCACTTTTTTCTTGATATCATATTTAAGATCTTGTCATTCTGCACAAATTATGTTCAGTATGTTTTAACAAAATAATTATACTTTAAAAGATATGATGCAAAATGTCTCAAAAAATCACTCATAAAACGTGTCCTAAATTTTGACCCCCTACCGAGCTTCCATACTAAACACTTCCGGAAGATTTGAAAGTATAGGTGCAAAACTACAATATGTTGTCTATTAGCCCTGAAAATGACAACATTCTAGCTTTTGTCGTTTTTGAGTTTTTGTGTCGACAAAATGGTCACTAAAAATTCGATTAAAGGGCGATAACTTCCGACCGGAAGTGAATTTTTTGGATTTGAACAAAAAAGGATCATCTTCAGATCAAAACACATTATCACTGAAAATTTCATTAAAATAGATCAAACCGTTTTTGAGATATCGTCTGCACAAAAATTGTAAAGAAAAAGTGGAATAATAATAATAATAACTAGATGAGATCTCGTTGCGAGCAACGAGTAGGTCTTCCGTTGAATTTCTAGATAAGATGAGATGTGATTTTGACTGAGATATTCGTTAAAAGAGAATGACATTAAGTTTTTCTTCATTAAATTTAAAGTTTCTGTTTTTTTTTATCCAATATTCTGAACATCTTTTGTTCAATATTGCTTATAAAAATACTCCCCCTTTTTGAGACGTAAAGCATAAAAAATATAGCATTTTGGCCCCTGGTGATCCCTTATTACGTAACATATGATCAAAATATTATAACATATTGTTACATATCGTTAAAATGAATATCTTTGCTTCTCAAAATGTATACTTATTACAAAATATTGATAATTAAAGAGTTAAAGATGAAAGACTTCTTGCCCCTCCGAGCCCCTAATTTGATGAGACGGCCCCTTTTTCTTGATATCAAACGAAAGGTCTTGTGATTTCAAAGACTTTTTGTTCTACACCTATTCAGAGATTTCTTTTCGTTTAAGAGATATGCTTTATATAAATATTTAGGGGCCACTCCTACAAGTCCTTAATGGGGCCGTTTTACAAAAATTCAAAGTA